AAGCTTGTCTTCGGTTCCTTGTTGAATGAATTGATCTCCACAAATAAGGAAGTTCTCAAATTCTTGAATGCAAAATTTGTCTCATGTATACAATACTAGCTGCAATCATGATATAGCTGCAGCTGCCTAATTTACCTTGTAGACAAGCTCGGTTGCACATAAATAAGGTTAATAATACTGCTGTTCTCAAACAGTGCATTTTTAATATTTAGGATTTGATATTTACACATTTTATGACCCTTTAGGAAGGCAGTAGGGGAACCCAAGTGCACTGGGATAGAAAAAAGAAAAAGGGAGAGACCAAGGTGTGACAAGAGAGTTATTCCGTCTTATTTGTATCCTCTTGTGGAATCTTAGTGTGCAAGGTTGATGAGCATATAGCATACTATCATCCTATGAAATTATTGACAAAATAAAATGCATTAAAAAAGTGGACTCCAAACAACCTATTAATTAAATGGAGACTTGAATGAGTTGTGCGTAGCCTTTAATACAAAAGGCATCATTTGGAGCAATCTGAAAATTCTATGGGTAGTACAATTTATGAAGGGATGTCAAAATTCAGTAATTAGTAATAAAGCAAGACCAACAATGGCTTCACTTTTTTACCAGTTGTATGTAATGAATAGGTCTATTGGATGTTCGAAGTTTGTTGCTCTGATTGCATTTATTAAAGCTGCCTATTGCCTAGAAAAGCATTGAATGCTTAAAGGGTGCACTAACAAGAAAAGAAACTACTTCTCTCTATTAAATCTTACAATGTCCAAAAATATCAATTGGGTAATGACGTTGCCTCCATATGATTCTTAGGAAGACCAAATTACAGTGACTGAGAAGTAAGTTAATTTCAGGTATTGAGACTGAGTGGAGACTGACATTGCTAAGGTCATTTGTTTTGTTATTTTACTCAAATGGAATGTACTTTTTCTTAGACTGATAACATAACATAGTGACATGCTTTGTGATTTCGCAAAACAGAAATGACATCTCATTCTCTTAGAGGAATATGAAGTTCAAAATCTTGTGTTGAAGTTGCTGTACTTTATGACTGTAGATGGCTTTCTTTATGTTATTACATATGTATTCATGTCTTAATGACAAATTTTTTTCACATATTTTGTTCAGGCCATGCTTGTGCACCCAGATAAAAATATGGGAAGTCCACTGGCAAGTGAATCATTTAAGAAACTTCAATGTGCATACGAAGTAAGAGTCTTTCAAGTTTTCTTAGATTTTTTGCTATTTCCAAAATGTCTGAGGTGGAAGTTGCGGTGCAGTGTTGCTTCGTTTCTTTGTCGCTTACAATGGCATTCATATTCAGGTTCTTTCTGATGTTGTGAAGAAGAAGGACTATGACGAGAAACTCAGAATGGAAGAATCTAAGGCTGTTCTGCAGAAATCTCCTAGCACTTCTCGTCAGGTACGAAGATATGATGTCTCTGTGCACTTGTTTAGCGACCATAGTTCTATTTTTTAATCTCAGAAAAAAGTGCAGCAATGTTTATATCTTAAAATGTAAATGTGAAGAAAAGATATGAACTTCTGTTTTCTAATTAGAAAAATATTGTTCAGTCAAGACTCTGGATTGTAAACATGTCTCGTTTTCGTTTTTTTTGTACCTTCGTAACTGTAAGAGGTGTTGAGTGTTATGGAAAAGAATGACGTTTTTGTTCAGTTAAGTATTTTAAAATACATGAAGGGATCCATGTTTTGTGAATGAGGCTTTACTATCTGTTAGTTAGCTGGAAATTCATTTTATCAAAATACATCAACTCTGCATTATCGTGTGCCAGGAAACAAAATTAGTCAGAATATATAACATTTCTAACTCCATATTGAGCAGGATACTGCTGGATTTGTTTCTGAGGAGTCAAGGTGTATACAGTGCACAAAGTGCGGCAACTCACACATCTGGGTTTGCACCAATAGGACGAAGGCTAAAGCAAGATGGTGTCAGGTTAGGCTACTCTTTAAATTGAAAAGTTCTTTAGTTTATGCACATTGTGCAGGTAAATTAATTGATGAGCATTTTCTTGGCTACAGGATTGCTGTCAATATCATCAAGCAAAAGATGGTGATGGATGGGTGGAAGACAAAGGGTCACTGATGTTTGATTGCCCTCAAAAGGTATGCTTCACTTAACGAAAACTGGATGTTTTCATTGTATATATGCATTTGCAGTGGAGATAATCACTGTGATCTAATAATGGTTCCATTACTGTTATTTCAATTTTTTGAATTATGGATGTATAGCACATTGCATATTTTTGTCCAAAATTTTGTTTTATGTGGTCCTTAAACCACTGCCAGATAACTGAGGATTGTTTGTAGAAAACTTTTAGTACCAGTGAGAGCAATCAGGGAATATGTTGCTTTTGGATTTTGTTATTATATGGAGTCTTTTGAAGTGAGCATGGAAATCGGCATCTTATTAGCCTACATGACTATGCCATACTTAATCAACTATGCTTTAATGGTTTTAAGAAGTTTGCTTTGCCAACACTAAATCTACTTTAGTGGGTGTTTGATGGGGATTAAAATTAGATGATAGAAGTTTTTGAAATGTGTGGTTGAAAAGATGTGAGACTCATAAAAGATGTGGTTAATATTGATTGTTTAACTTTGACTTGGATTAAAATCTGATTTTAATCAGAAACAAACAAGGCCTTAGTGAATACAATAAAGAATCTGCATGCATTATGGACCTGTTTTGTTCCCTATACATCATGTTTCCCGAAGGAATATTGGTGCTTCTCGTATTAGACATAACACGTCTAGTTCACTGATCATTAGGGTTTTTGTGTCTTGAGATTGTTAGCAAGACAGTGCTTGATTTTTATTTCCTGCAAGAGATGGTCAAAGTATCTTTGTAAGTAAACAGAAGAACCAATAATTGGGTATGAATTATTTCCTAGAGGTTCAAATTTTGATCTTCATTTTTTCTTCCAGATCTAATTTGTGCTTTAATTGATACGGCAGGACAAATTCTGACAGGGGTTTCTGTGCATTCTCAGCATTCATGTAGTTGATGTGTCTTTTCCGTTTTTATGTAGTGTGTTGCAGAAAATATGTGACATTTATCAGCAATACGCGAGTCTAATGTGATTTTTGTGACCCAATTGATGTAGACAGAAATTTCCATGTAATTATCATCCATTTTTCTCCCTCGCTTGGTTCAACTAAACATATATTATTTGCATTGCCATATAGGTGGAAATTCCGTGTGCTTTTGTTTGCGCAGAGAGTAAGATCTTTGACGTGTCAGAATGGGCTACATGTCAGGTCAGTGCATTTTTGATGTGTATGCATGCCCTTATTCTGTGTTGTCTACATGTCAAAGAAAATGTCGTCCATTCTGAAAATTAACCAAACCAGCTCTATTTTCCCCCCTTCGTTTTTCAGCATTTTCTCATATTTCTAACCTGGCAATGTGAATTTTAATCTTTTCATTGAGAAATCCCAAGGATAAAATATCTAATTGACCATACATGTCAAATTTCAACGAAAAATGAATGTATACCGAGCAAATGATGTTTTCAGCTGTCCAATTCTGTAAGCTGAACGGTTGACTGAACCATCGATTGATTTCTCGTGTTGCTGTTGCATTTGCACATTGTTTATTTTTGTCATTCACTCACTGACAACTTTTAGGTGCTATACCATCTCAATATAGGGAATGGCTTGTAGACCCAACACTCATCGACCTAGTTTCCATGTAAACATGGTCGGACTAGAGAAGTCGTCAAGTCAGAGATCTAATTCAGCTCGATATCCATGGGATTTAGACGCTGAATTGATGGATGAAGAAGAATTCGAGCTGTGGTTCCAGCAAGCCCTAGCATCTGGAATTTTTTGTGAAACCCGAAAGCGCAGGAAAACATGGAGCCCATTCAAGTTGCCTCAGAAAAAGGATAAAAAACATTGGCGAAGATCGTCTTGAGACGATCCTGAAAGGTGGATTTATTATTTCTAATCTCCTGCAACATCACCTATGCCACGCACCCTTGAGCAAACAGGGGAGGCACTGATAAGAAACCATAACTTGCAGATATCTAATTGCTCCGGCAAGGGTGCCTGAGAATCTTGTCAAAGGAGATGAGAATGATGGGTGGACTTAAAAGATATAAACAGCTCGTTTGCTTGTTCTGTTTGTAAATAATGTTAAGAATTTTCTCGAGGCATTCCTCTGAAGATCAGTATAATTGAAGAGCAAAACTGATTGTGTACGTTAGCATGATCAAGAATTGTATGACTCAAAAGTGTAATAAAGGGAAAAAAAAAGCATTTAGTCTTTATCTAAATCATTGCTTTTGTAGCTGTATTATCTTCTCTTCAGTGCACAAATATAGCTTTAAGCTGATATCAGAAAGTTGTGGAGGAAATTGCTACTTATCAATAGCCATTGTCACAAGCAAATATAACGTGTTGGCTTGACAGGATTAAAAAGCTATGTTCCAAATATATTAGAGCACAGATAGCTCTCATCTAAGATCAATAATCACTGACGAGTAGATAGAGGCTTGTTCTGGGTAATTGTCCCAGTACCATAAGAACTTTACATGCATTTGTGATTCTCTAGCAAGAAATCATTTCACCCACATCCAATCACAAATCCTTGGATGAAGCAAAGGTTGGTTGGCCTTCTCTGAGCCAACTTTAAATAAGAATTCTAAATACTACTGAATTGAAACTTGAACATCCACAAACACTACAATTTGTATGGTAAAGAATAACACAAGGCTTGAACTGACTCATTAACTCTCTCATGTTTGGTGGCGTAATTTTGATCGCGCTAAACTGTATAAAGGAACAGAATGAAGCTACAATTTTATTCATTGCACTGTTCAGTTCTGTCCATATCAATCATGCAGCCATCGTGATGAAAACAAAAGGATGAAGGGCATTTGACTGCTCATTAAACCAGACAGGCTGTAGGTCATATCTCCCATCTTTTCTGCCTGAGTCTGTGTCCATAACTGGTGGCAAGAACAATAAACAGCTCATCTTGCTTTATATCCTGTCACAAATCTCTGGATGCCAGCAAAATCGGATATAATCTTCACATCATGGAAGCTGCCTTTTGTTTCAGTATCCATGTGATCGACAAGAAATTTGCTCTGTATTTCACCATTTGTCTGCAGCAAGAAGGTCAAAAATATATTATGAAAAGAAACTGCATCCTTGAATGGACACATTTTTAACTACCCTTTTCCCAAAATTGAGAACTCGATACTAGGATTTGACTTCACATCTCATGAAGTTAATAGGAGACTCCACACCTCATTGTGAATAAGAAAACTAGCAACATACTCAACATAGAAGTCCATTTGGTGATGTTACGAGCAAATTAACAGTATTAACACCGCAGTTCAATAGCTCATTTTTCCGAATCCTTGAGGTGGTAACTGGTAAGTAGTCAGTTACAGTGCCTTATTCAGCAATTTGACACCATAGGGATTGAAAAAACTGCTCTGAAACAAAAGGGGATCTTGGTGTAAACTGCCTCAATTAATTCCCAAGCAAGCTTAATACTTTAAGGCTATGATGCTCGGACTCGGGAACAGGTATCGGGTACGGGTATGTATTAAGTGTCGGGTCTTTTATTTTCTAAAATATAGGATACGGGGACATGGCTAAAAAGAGTCCAAATTTCGGACACGGGTACGTGGGTACGTCTTTCAAGCTTCAATTTTTTTTTATTAACCCAAGATGTCATTTTAAATAGATCAAAATCAATCCTTCACAAAGAAGGAAATGAATATTGAATAAGAGGTTAAAAAGAATAAAATAGAATTTTGGGGTTTAGTTTTCAATTATGAAAAGTTAATTACTAAATGTTATATAAAATAGAAAATGAGGGACTTGATTACAATTTAAACTTAATGAAATACAAAGTGGCACTATATGGAACCCGTTTTCATTTCATACAAAGAAAATCATAAACCATCGATACAGAGAGGAAAGAAGGAAAAAAGAAGAAAAGACGGAGAAAAAAGATAGAAGAAAAAGAAGGGGAAACCTAGTGTCGTCGCCGAAGAAGAAAAGGGGAAGAAAAAAAGAAGAAGCAGAAACGGCGAAGTGTCAGGTTGAAACTTGAAGGATCCAACACAAATTCAATACCCACACAAATCCAATACACATACCCATGTCATGTCGTATTTGATACGGGCACTTCGACCATTTTGAAGAGTCCAAGCATCAGAGCTTTAAGGTTGTGTTTGGTACATCGAATTAGACAATATAAGAATTAAGTATAAAATTAGAGTAGATATATTGTGTCGACAGTATTAGGGTGGATTAAAGTGGATAGTAATTTTTAGTTTTCTATTTAAAAGAATGTTATTTGTACTTTCTTAGTTAAGCTAACTGCATAGCATAATACGGAGTGAGGAGGTGAGTTTAGGCCGGATAAGAAAGAATGTGCAAATAGCGTTCTTTTTTAATGAAAGCCTCATAAATACTAACCAGTTTAATCGACCATAATATTATCTACCCAGTACTACCTCTTCTAATTTTAAGTATAATTTTGGTACCGTCTAGTCTGGAGTGCCAAACATATCCTAAAGGTATAAAATATTTTCAGCTAAAGTACCTTCATGCATCTATGCATGGTTCGTTAGAATTTCCAGAATGCTTACCTATAGTAAGGCTCACAGATAAAGATGCATCTGATCATTAGTCAGGAATTGAGTTCCTGAATATACCATGATGAAGACTCTTACACACTTTATCATTCTATAATAAAAGTAGAACATGCATACAAGTAGGATATAGAACCCTGATAGCATAAATGTTTCCTAATAGCTAAAAATTGATGTTGGGGTTAAAAGTAACATATTTCTTTGAAGAGATCATGCCATAAATCAAGAAGAATGAGGAGATACCTCCAATGCAACAAATCCACCAGGTTTTAACATGAATACAGCTCCATGGCACAGATGGAGAAGATCATTCATGCCATTTGCACCACCATCCAGTGCAAGTCTTGGTTCATGTTTAGCAACTTCAGCTTGTAGGCCACCAATATGATCACTAGGAATATAAGGTGGATTGCTAACAAGTCCTGCAAGTCCTCCTTCAACGTTCTTTAACGGTTCAAACCAAGATCCTTGCTTTACCGCAATCTTATCCTGTTATATATGCCAAATTTAGGTAACAATATAATTCTTAAGTTGTCCAAAATAGCAAAAGACTAGGCCTGTTGTATCTATTGCTATTAATACTGCTGTAGTTTAGTGAATTCAGCAAAGGTGTCAATTGCATAACTATATCTTTTTCCTCTTAGCAAAGTCGAAATCGAAATGAAAAGGCACTAAATTCAACACGAACAGAGAAGAAAGATATAGCTAACACAGACAACTGACCTGCAAATTATACCTTTGCACATTATAGGATGCAACAGAAACAGCAACAGGGCTCAAGTCAGTTGCAATAACTTTCCCAGGATCACCCAAAATCCTGCCAATTCCAATGGCAAGTGCCCCACTCCCAGTCCCCAAATCAGCCCATAAACCATCCCTTAACTCCTCGTTTTCATTTACAGCGTCATTAACCAAGTCCACAATCATCTCAGTCTCTGGTCTTGGTATCAATACCCCTTCTTCCACACTCAACACCAAGTCCCTCCAGTGCTCACACCCCACTACATACTGAAATGGCCTTCTTTCTTCAATCCTCTGCTTCCACATCTTGTAAAGATCATCCAAACACACCCTTAGTGACACTACTGAATCATCATCATTTGAATTCTGAAATGAAACCTTATTGGGGTTTTCAAATGCATCTTGAATGAGCCATGTAAGTTCTCTCTGCAAAAGGGTCGAGTCCGGGCCATTATCCAAGTCCAAGAAAGTGGAGCCCACAGAAGATACTAGGTTCTTGGCCCAAATGTGCCATTTTTTCAGGTCTGCAACGGTGGCACTGAAGTTGGGTGGCCGGAGATGGAGTGGAATCCGGGGTCTGTTCGAAGATAACACTGCGGAGCGGGAAACAAGTCGACCCGGGTTGGAGCGAAGCAAAACGGGTTGCAAAATGGAAAAGAGACACCCACGTGGGGAAATCATATTCATCGATTTCCTCGCAAGTGCAGAAGCGCGCACATGAGACGAATTTTGCTATTGCTTGAGACGGACCTTAGGCCTTGTCTTGACAATCCAGCCAAGCGAGAGCCAAAATCTTGGTCCACTGTGACAAACAAAACAATAATTATGTTAGGTCATACGATACTATAATTTTTATGGTATTATACAATGTAAATTAGAGTATTATTAATTTTCATGATTACAGATATTGGCATCAAAATGGCAAAGAGCGTAGCGGCTGTTTTGCTTTTCGTGCACGATGTTAATCATGTCTTTCTTCATGATTATTTCACACCATTTTTATTTTTAATCACGCTTTGCTTTTCGTGAATGTGCACATGTTAGAATGAAACCATAGTCGACAACTAGTTAGACAATGCGTTTTTTTTACAAATTAGCAACTCGTCGACATAGTTATTGAATAAAAAATTTAAATAAAAGTGTTAGACTTTCTTTACTTCAATTCGAGTGATCGAGTCTCACATTCATTCATTCATAAAATCCTTTACATGCCGAATAACAACAGGTTGATAAGGCACGTTAAAAAGGAGTATAATGTATTACTTCGATTTTATATTTATTTTCGCAATCATTTTTCTTATTGATTCAACTATACGGCACTCAATTAAAATCATCGTTAAATAAATATGCACTTAATTTAAAGATTGGAAAATATCTCCATTAATTTTGTGCTTGATGTGACTGACTCAGAGACGTGACAGGTTACGTACAAAAATTGACAAGAGAATACGTGGATTTAAATTAGAAAGATATTTTGCGAGATTTTACCTTTTAAATTAATTTTGGAAAAAGGCTAAATGTACAGCCTTTTTACACATTAAATTTGACAGTCCTCTCACATGGGGTCCACAATCCCCCATGTGAGAGGACTGTCAAACTTAATGTGTAAAAAGGCTGTAAGTGTAGCGTTTCTCTTAATTTCGCCCCCCGTTCGACACCCATTTTTGGGTCAAAATGCATTTTGAAATAGTATTTATTGCAAAGTGTGTGATTAAAAAATAAGAAAAAAATTTGATTTACATGTAAAATTATTTTATGAAAGAATGTGCGGTAAAAAATGAATTTTTAAAAAAATAATTAAAAAAAACTCAATTTTAATCACAAATAATGCTTGTTAGGAAAAATTATAAGGTGCTGAATTTATAATTTGATATTTAAATTATAATTCACATACTGACAATGCATTCAATCCAAACGGTACCAAACAAATGTAAAACAAAATCAAAATAATAAATACTTAAGAGGAAAGTCATAAAAATACATACCTACTCATACGTTATTCACCTGGATCTTGCCATTTCTCTCTCTAGCCCTCTCCTTCTCTCTCTACCGTTAATCTTGTTTTCACTTCTTTTTTCTTTTTATTTTTCAATTTTTCTTCTCATTTCTTGGTTTTTGTCAACTGTTTTCTGCTCGTGGCTTTTAATTTGTTTGCTTAATTCTTAACAAAAAAAAAAATTTGTGAAAAAATTCTGGTGTGTGATGGGTATTTGTTATTCGAAGATTGAAAACAAGGATTCTGAATGGCCGAGCGAAAATGAGTATGATAAGAAGATAAATATGAAGTTAAAGAAGAGTAGTTCAGGTGAGTTTGCAGCATTTTTTAGCAAGTTAAGTGGTGGTGGCGGCGCGGTAGTCGCAGCAGCGGAGGAGCGGGCGCTACACCAGATTCAGGGCCGGCTTTTCTCCAGTGGCGCAAACAGCATATCCTGCTTATACACTCAGCAAGGGAAGAAAGGAACCAATCAGGACGCCATGATCGTTTGGGAGGTCAGTTTGTTTGAAAAAAAAAATTATATATGTATGCACATATATCTATATGCGCATTTTTGTATGTATTTTGCTATTAATGTTTAATGATAGTATCCTGAAAGTCAAATTAATTTGTAAGATAAAGTCATTTTAGGTTATGATTGGTTATTGCTGTCCAGAATGGAAAATATTATTGATGAAATTTTTGGCCATTTGGGTCAGTTTACGACTTGCTAGTTGCTTCGAATGTTTCTATTGTAGAATTTTTGTACGAGAAGCAATACAAATGCAATATTTTGCGGTGTGTTTGATGGGCACGGTCCTTTTGGTCATATGGTTGCAAGAAAAGTTCGGGATTCTCTTCCTCTCTTGCTGCGTGAGGAGTGGGAAGCCAAATCCGATATCGAACAAATTACTGCAGGCGAGAATGGGAACCATGCAGGAATGCTTCGTTTTGAAGAGTTCATGGATGGTGATGGATTTGATTCAATTGAAGTTGACGATAATGAGAAACTCCCCGAGATGCATATGCCGCTTAAGAGGTCAATATTAAAAGCTTTCAAGTTAATGGATAAGGAACTGAAGTTGCATCCTACCATTGATTGTTTTTGTAGTGGAACAACGGCAGTTACTTTGATAATGCAGGTATACTTTGTGTAAAATTGTTATGTTCCCTTTCATTTCCTTGTACGGTTTCTTGTTTGTTATACAACATCCTACAATGTAACGTGTGGCGAAATGCGTCTTTATCCTTTTAACAAAATCAGTAACCAGAATTGTATGGTTGCATTGCATGCTAGATTGAATGAATTATTGTACATAAAGGGATTCTTGCTCGGATTTATTCAAAGGGTGCTAAGGCAGTGTGCGTGTACCTACAGCTCTGATGTTCCCTTATAAGGCTTGTAATATAGCGAGCTTGGTGAACAGTGTCAAAAGCATCAAACCTCTGTTTTAGGACGGTCAAATCTTTTTGGCTTTTTAAGAGTCATTTCACAGATTGTATCACCATCCTTGGTGTGATCTGAGCATCATATGCTTCTATGACTTGAAACGTACTCGGTGAACATTGTCAAAAGCACTAAATATATGTTTTTAGGGCAGTCAAAACTTTTGGCTTCTTAAGAGTCGTTTCGCAGATTGTACACCATCTTCGGTGTAACCTGAGCATCATATGCTTCTATGACTTGAAACCCCGGAGTCTACACTTGCAAACTTCTCTTGTATTTGATAGGAGTTTAACCTCTGACTTATGGGGCATACCGAAATACATACAATTGTGAGATTTACTTGTATATTATCTTTTTACTTATAAGTCGGTCCAAGCCTGGGCAAAGGAGAAGGGTTGCAGTCAAGAAAATAGAAAAAGTAATAATAAGACCAGCAATCAATCTCCTACATCACTCTAGCAATAGTGTTAACATTTGTGATCAATGAGAATTGTCCACAATACAATTACACTATTGATGCTATACATTTACTAGTTGGTTTTTTATGCTATAGACGATTTAAAAAATCTTGAATGGTCTTACTAATTTAGGAACATGATTTTCCAGGGTCAGGATCTCATAATCGGAAACATTGGTGACTCAAGAGCAGTGTTAGCAACAAGAGATGAGGACAATTCTTTGATGGCTGTACAGTTGACTGTAGATTTGAAACCCAATCTTCCAAGTATCTCTCTTAACTTTTCTTCTCTTACTTTGATGCATACAGAGCCACTTCAGATAAAAAGGACTGAAGCCTTAGAGAACTTGATTTTTAAGATAAATCACATCCTAGCTTCCTGGCCCGAAAGATAACAAGTAGAATGAAAGGGGAGTTCGACATCAGTAGTCACAGCAAAAAAATTTACTTCCCTTTTCCTTTTGCAGGAGAGGCTGCTAGGATCCAGAAATGTAAAGGAAGGGTTTTCGCATTGCAAGATGAGCCTGAAGTTGCACGTGTGTGGTTGCCCAATAGCAATTCACCTGGTTTGGCGATGGCCCGAGCATTTGGTGACTTTTGTTTGAAAGATTTTGGTTTAATTTCTATCCCAGATGTTTATTACCACAACATCACTACGGGAGACGAGTTTGTTGTTCTCGCCACTGATGGGGTATTGTTCTCATATCTTTGTTAATAATTAGGTTGCAATGGATAAATTTTGCCTGTAGTTTGATCCAAAACATGCTTCTTTTTATGGTTGTGTTTGGTGTATTGGTGTTGGACATGGCTGAAGGATTGCCTTTGTTTGTCACATCTTCCGCCATATTTTGCCTTTTGGTCTCGAGATTTTATAATGATGCAATATGTTATCACATAAGGGTTAGGGAACAGCCGAACGGGGAAAGTAACCAAATAAATTTTCCCTCAGAAGTCCTCTTTTCTAATATTGTTGAATTCACCTTTCTCTCTTGTTCACTTTTGCTTTTTAGGACATGATGACTTTATGTAAGATATATAGTTCAACCTAAACTGGCAATTTAACTGTTATTTTGACACAGGTATGGGATGTCCTCTCCAATAAGGAAGCAGTGGAAATTGTGGCCTCGGCTCCTGGTCATGCAACAGCCGCCAGAGCTCTTGTAGACTGTGCAACTAGAGCATGGAGACTCAAGTACCCGACATCAAAGAATGATGACTGTGCCGTTGTGTGTCTCTTCCTGCAACAAGTATCTGGTGCTAATGTGGCTAGAGCACAAAATAAAAGCAGTACAGCATCGGAAGTGGAAATGATCATTAGAGAAGGGGGCACCGAGGGCTCAAATATTGACGTCATAGCTGCTTGTGCTGATCTTGTACATTCAGATAACGCGGAAGAGTCGGGGGCTATTGTGGCTAAAGCACAAAATAATCTCACTACAGACTCGGAAATAGAAATGAAGAATGTCCCTAAAGAAGGGAATACTGAGGGCTCAAATATTGACTTCGTATCTTCTTGCACAGATCTTCTTGTACATTCAGATAACGTTATAGAGACGGGGGCTAATGTGGCTAAAGCACAAAATAATATCAGTGCAGATTCCTTGGAAGTGGAAATGAAGAACGTCCCTAAAGAAGGGGGCACCGAGGGCTCAAATTTCGACGTCACTTCGTGTGCTGATCTTCCTGTACATTTAGATAACGTTGAAGAGTCTGGGAATAATATCACTACAGACTCAGAAGTGAAAATGAAGGTCCCTAAAGAAGGGGGCACCGAGAGCTCAAATACTGACATAGTAGCTTCTCATGCTGATCTTGTTTTACATTCAGATAGCATCAAAGAGTCGAGCGAGATAGAGTCCGTGGTCGAGCCAGTGGAGGAGAAGCTACTGGAGAGGATTCATGACCACCACTCAAAGAGGAGCCTAGCCGAGTGCCTTTCGACTACAGAGGATGAGGAATGGTCAGCCCTCGAAGGTGTTACCCGTGTTAATAGTCTACTTAGTCTTCCGAGGTTCTTGTCTTTCGAGAAAAGATCTGCGAGTTGGAGAAAATGGTTATGATGATGTCAACTAAAGTGCAATGGATCGTTTTCGCTGTAAGATCAAGTCATTTTTCTCAAGGATTACCTCCTAAACGAATCTGATAGCAGTAAAATTATCAACACAGTGGCTAAGGCTGTCTGGTAGGAGAAGTTTTGTATGTACTGCTGGAATATGCTTCTTGTACTCCTTATAGGGAAATAGAAAGTATAAATTTTATTTTTTCTGTAATATTTTCATCCTCTTGGTATTTAGTTGTTACTCAACAAATGTTGTGCTTTATCAATTGCTTAAAATCTTGGCTTGGTCGTCTTATTTGATATCTCCAAATATTTCTTTTGAAGTCTTTGCTTGTTCATTGGATGTATCAAACTGGTATTAATTTAGTGACATGATTGGTGTACTTGATCAAATCAACTGTACTTCCTTTTCTATTCATTTTTTGGTGTGAGCCATCCAACCAAACAAGACTGGAACTTCCAGCACAGGAGGATATGTTGAAAGTGCACAGCAATAAATCCCCAGCCCTTGAGTTAAAGGCATTCACATCAAGACCTCCAAAAATAGCAATGGAATTACAATAAACTCAAATCAGCTTCATCCTCTAATAAACAAATCATCAAATGCAAGTTCATTATATTCATTATCGACGTAGGATTATTTGTATTTTCCTTTTTCCTTTTCCCTACTTTTATTTATTCCTCAATGTCCAATAGGATTGTGATTGTCCCACTCCATACGACTCCTGAAACCATACCCCATCTCAAGAGTCTACTACGAGCTCAATAATTTTACAGTCAAAACTATACATAATAGTTCATATTAGTTGAACTTCGGTGTCTTGAGGATGCTGAAACGTCAGTAGACAGAGATGGTGAACTTTCGGTCTCGTGTTTGCTCAAGCCCAACATGAGAATCGAGCTACCTGGTTTAGGTCTTCTGTCAGCAAGAAAACAAGATTATATCACAGCGGGAACTCTTTCTGGAGAAAATCAAGATTCCTCGAGTCGCAAGCTTCCAGCATATCGTTCCGGGAAGCACAGCTGCAAAACAGAGAGCAGAAATTAGTTGCAATCAATTATCATGGACACGATTAACAGGCATTGTTATTTGAAAGAAAGTACCTCAAAGAGATTCTCAAATACTGCCAGGCATTATCTGCCTTCGGATTCATGGAGAGTGCCCGGACATAGTAACGTATAGAGTCCTCATACATACCCTGAATGCAGAAGAATATATAATCATTCTAAATTAATCCCATGCCACAGAAAATAGAGTCCTGCTTTTCATGCACTAGGAAGCATTATGAGCGACTAGGTTTCATGATGAGAGATATAAGGTTCAAAAAAGTTACTTAGATCACAGCTCCTGTATTTTAGATGACATTATGAATGGAAGAAGAGAAATTTTGGAAGCCAAATCAAAGATTGTAAATATTACTTAGCACTAAGAGCATGCAAAGATCAAATTTTAGACAAGCACGTAGAAAGAAAGAGGACTAAAAGATATCAATGTGTGAACACGACTGAAGTGAGGATTCACCATGGTTTGTAAGAATGGGAATCAATTAAGGTAAATTTTATCATCCAGGTTTGCAAGATACTTGGAAACTGAGAAAAGAAAACTGGAATAACATACTGTGCATTGCTGGGTCAAGTTTTGCATTATAGACTACTAAGATGGCAAGGGGGGGAGGTAGGACTATAAATTTGCAAAATACTGAGCAAAAAGCCTCTACTGCAAGCAAAGATCATATGGCCTAATTGACTGCAAGTTGAATATGCTATGACCCTCTTCATCAAGAATCCAACCTCGTATATTTTATAAAGTGAAACATCAACATTTTTATGTTACTAATTTTTGCATTCTCAATGTGTTATCATTTTATTTCTTCTGCTAATGATTCCAGGAATTTGCACTTCTAAGTGATAAATCTTTAGAAATACTCCAGCATATAAGAACACAAATCGTTGTGATTTATGCACTATGTTGTAATTTGATAAATGCCAAACGTTGTTTTTACCTGGTTAGCATAGCTGATGCCCATGTTTGCCCATGCACGTACATAATTAGGCTTTAAATCAAGAGCCTGAGAAGCAAGGAATAAACTATGAACTTTGGAAACTGAAAAGGCAATATATCACAAAGAGAAGTCAGATACTATCACAGAGTCCAACTCGGATGAACACGCATAGCAAAATCAATAAACAAATATAATCATTCCCAGAACGCTATATAGAATTGAATCACACTTTTTCCTCCCATGTAACGAATTCTTTATAAGTTACATCTATAGACTTTATTGGCTGTTTGACATCAATACAAAGGAGTTAACGTTATCAATGTTTTGAGTAAAATTTAAAATTTTTTTGAAGGATTTTTCATTACCAGTGTTATGTAATTCATCTATGTACACTTGGTTCGATTCAATGTGAGGAACTAACAATTAGTTTTAGCTGTCATCATTTACAGTTTTTCATAAGCAGGCATACTGTTTATCTACAAATAGCACGAGTTAGCTAGCATCTGTGCATGACTACATCCTGCCTGATCCAACTCTGTGTACCTATATCATTGGAAAGGAAAATGGAGGCAAAAGTGGTAAGATCATTTTACCTGTTGATAAGCCAAAATTGCATCAGCACTGTGAACACTATTAGCTTGGGTTGCACCAAGTTTATTCCAGAGTGAATAATCTCGTGGTTTGAGTTTTAAAGCTGTCTGGAAAGCATCAATAGCTTTGTCATATTCTCTGGACAAGTTGTACAGGACTCCAAGAACTATGTGTACATCAGCATCATCAGGTGATACTTTGGCTGCATCATTAAATAATCTAGCAACCTGCACGCCTCAAACCAAACTTAGAATGAATGATCCTTATTTTCAGCAGTTCAACAAAGGGGGGGAAAGAAATAAATAAAGCCATTTATTGATTATCAAGAAAGGTCCCAGACATTGGCAGCTCATGGAAAACTTCATGACTGTAATAGCAATCAATTAGATAGACCACAGACGCAAGTGATGTGATCAATGTACACAGATAAATGCCTGTGCGTGCACATAGTAGTAGTCAAAAGGACACATACGTCAGCATAATAGAGATTATCAGGCTGCTCTGCAGATGTAATGGTCCCATACTTTGGGTGATGGCGTAGCCAACTGTACAAGTACTTCAATGCAGCTGCTTGTTCCAACTCTGAGAAGTTCACACAAACAAACTAGTCAGACTTCCAATGATATTATATTAGACCATATACAATGGCTAAAAATAATTACTTTTGTGAAATACAAACTGGAAAATCCATGATATATAGTATATGCACAAATTTGAAAAAGCTAGATACGCAAATGTGTGAGCTCGCAAACATACCACACACTCATATAACAATACTATTACGGGCCTAAAGCTAGTCTGAAAATCTAGGTGAACCGTAGCAGATTTTCTTCTTTGGGGAACAGATGGAGTAACTACCAAGTACTAACCATTTGTATGACTCACGCCAAGAGCGAGAAGTACTTCCAAGTTTGTTGGATCAACTTCCTGTGCACGCATCATGGCTGCAATAGCCTGTGACATAACAGATTTTCCATAAGAAATCGGGTGTCTATTACCATGCCCAAAGTAAATAGAATGAAAATTCTCAGTGCAAAATGGAATGTAAATAAAAACTAAAGACTTCCAAAGGAACTATAGTATCAGCAAAACTTTCCTCTCATGTTTGTTTTTAAGAATCTTATGTAGTCGAAATTTCTGAATGAAACCCACCATAAATAACATAAAGGATGATACCTGAAACTAGTACACGCTGAACGTGCAAGCAATAAAAGGTCGTATATAAAAAGAAACGTATTTTAATCCAACAAAAACCAAGATGAAAAATTCATATAAAGTGAATTAGGTCAGCAAGTAATTCAAGGAACATACAAGCAAAAACAATTTTAACCTGTTGGTCATCGTCATTCTCAGCATGTGCTATGCCAAGTAACCTCCAACCCTCAGCGTTGTCATGGTTCTTCAGAACCTCGGCCTCCAAAGCCAGTACTGCTTCACTTAAAAGTCCCTTGCGAAACAATTCTTGCCCTTCTTTCAGAGGATTAGGATGGCCAACATAAGGATTCATATCAGAGAATACATATACACCCCTCGAGGACTCTGATTTCTGCTGCAGTGCTACTTGCTCGTTCAGGTACCTATCATGAAAACCTGATTTACAATGTGCAATCACATAAAACTTTTTGTTTTTATATCCTCGTAAATATGATCTTGATAAATATGATCTTGATGATTATTTTTGTAAGTTGACTCTTAGGTACCAGGTTCTTGTTTCTTTTTCTTTCTAAATACCTATTATCCTATAAATACATTTTAGTCAAGCATGCATATGTTCTTTTGCAAGCATGCAACTTCAAGTTCGAAATCCAGTGTAACTTAAATGTATGACTAAACAAAATACAAACTTCAACCAATTTATAAAAGACATCTGCACATTTATACTGCAACTACGTTCATGATTTGTTGATCTCCTCTTCAGCTTCTAAATTAACTTCTCGTGAGAGTAGAATAAAAGCTCTTATTCTTTATCTTCAAATAATTACAGAACTTACTCATCATATGCATTTGCCCAGTTATCACCAGAACTATCACCCAATACTCCTTCTGCAACCTGATGCTCAAATTCTTCTGCCCAGTCATTGACATGTAACTTGGAAAATTCATTGACCCACTCACCATCTACTGATCCATGTATCTCACGTTCAGAAGCAAACTCATTTGCCCATCCATGAGGTTCCTGGGAACGCTGAAAACAAAATAGTGTTGGGTGAATAGGTGGCTTGTAAATTTTCCTAGAGCACAAGGCCTAAACTCTACGACAAACCATTGGTCGAAAGCAATAAAATCAACAGAAAATCTTTTTACCAACTCACTAAAGAGATGAAACGTTCAACAGTCTATAATAAGTTGGAATGTCGGATGACAATGATATCACTACATAACAAAGCAGATAGAAAAGACTTTCATTTGATAGATCATCCTGCAAATCCTGAACCTAATAGGGGAGTAAATAAAAAATAAAAGAAAAGAACTAGGTCTTGATCCCTTAATCAAGTTTGTACTTGCCTGCTCATTCACAAACTGGTCAGCCCATGTTTGACCTCCATTATATTGTTGCTGATATTCTGCTGCCCAATCTCCAGGTGCAGAGAATGTGGCTTGTTTTATTTGATTATCCTCAATAGTAATTTCGCCACGACTCATCTTTGATACAAACTGGAGGAACTTTGAATTCTACATGACAGATAATTGGGACAGAAAAATAAATAAATTGGCAACGCAAAAGTAATGTACAAATTCCATGCAGCTAGCATACTTAATGCATACTGATGCATTCTCCACTGAAGATCATCTCATCATCATACATCCAGAATTATAATTAAAAAAAAATCTCAAGAAGGATCACTACCTGGAATTTTGGATCATTGTTTTGAGCAAGAGTGTGTGCTAGCTTACGTGTGTGCTCCATGGCAGCTAAGCTCGAAATGTTTGCACCTCTCATTTGATCTAATGATGCAAGTTGGGATTGCTCCTGTGATAGTTGGAGGAACATTGTAATGTCAGAGTACTCATAAAGGACAAGGAGTGGCAGTTTCCAGTGTGAATGTACTTCATTGGACATAACTCAGTAAGAGTAGATATAAAAAGACAACGTAATACGGCAGTTCATTTCAAAAGGATGGCATTTACAGCACATAAATGAGCCCATATTTGCACCAGTGTGTGCATGTGCATATGTTTGTATTTATTTTCCATAGTCTCCTTTTCAGTTCATTCATCGAGGAGGATTTTCGTTCAAATTGCTAATGACCAGAATATGCTGGGAAAAAGTTGTTAGATGCTTACAAACCCAGCAAACTTTACTAAACCAAGCAAAACAAGAATATTTTTAGTTTCCCATCTTTTTTAATTGAAAAGAACACAAATCTTTCTAGGGATCCAGTGAACTTTATACTAAACCAAGCAAAACAATAATATTTTTAGTTTCCCATCCTTTTGGATTGAAAAGAACATAGATCTTTCTAAGGATCCATAAGATCGAGAAACTCGTAATCCATCATATGCAATTCCAAGTGCCAATTTGTTTGAAATCCAAAATACAGTTGGTGTGCAAAAATTATTATTCGGCAATTTAATCATCCCCGCTAGACAGAAAGTTTGTTTTCATTTCCACGACAGAAAATTAATAACTACACATCAACTATCAAAAGCTCCTTAAGACTAATCCTTTCAATTATACTACTAGACTGGGCGTTTTGGTACAGTTTGAAATATTCAAAATGGCCCCACTCTCATCTTCTCATATTATTCTTTCACATCTACAGAAGATGGATGGCCCCATTTTTGCTTCTTCCCATGAACACACATGGCCACAAAAGTCATTTTATCCAGACATCTAAAAGATTATGATTATGAAACTATAGAAAGCACTCCACTTCCACTTCTTGTTCTATATAACTGCAACTAGCCAAATAAAGACATTTGAAATGTAATCAAAGGCAGCTTAATTTATGAATTATCAATAGGATCAGAGAATCACATTAGTAATATAAAACTTGTATGCAATTGGATTCATAGATTTAAGTTTTGCATGTAATTTTTTGTTTTAAGGATTGCATATTATCATAGGATTTTTTTATCTCAATCAGCAAATTTGCACAAGTAAAGATCCTATTTCCTAAAGGTGTTACACCTAACCCTTTCTTCTTGTAACGAGGATCGAAAACACATTTCTGTATAGAAACAGAACTGAGACGCTGGATGTCAGTTGAAGAACCTCCAGCTTATGGTGTAAAGAAAATACATTTGTAAATTGAACTATAAGGCAACATAGTGATTCATTATTCTTTCATCTACTGAGACCATTAATCACTAGAAAATTGACTTCATAGATTAATTAACTAAATTATGATCACAATGTATCAGCCTGTCAGCTGCAACAAATAATTTTAGCTCTGTGAAATGTAAATACAAGCTGAGACACTTCTTACATGCTCAAATTCAGTAGCCCAACCATTAGCACCATGTTGCCGTTCAAATGACTGAACCCATGCATTAGGATCATTGCGTTCTATTTGGCGCTGAGAAAATTCAGTGACCCACCCATCAGTGGCATAAGGCCCAGGTTTCATACCTTGGGACTCATTCCAATACTCCTCTAGCTCTGGGAATCTACCAGGCATAGGGCCTCTGGACCTGATGTCATTATCGATCTCTAAAGAAGAAAGCAGTGCATTAACCTGCTAAGAAAACAAAATCAGATTACAAGCGAGTAAAAATATGCAGAAAAATGAATGATCAGGCACATTTCCTTGGCATTTTTACATTGTGATTAACATATTGATGCAGTCATTACAAGCTTGATAAAGAAGTTTGGATCACACAATAACCTAACTAAAGATTTCTCTGCCTACAAACTTGGATTCTTCTGTGCTGATTTCACAGATCTCGGGTTTAGGATATACAAAAACTCAAGTCTTAAGGAATTAAAAGGATTTCTTGCAGGGTTTGGAAACAGGATTGCATCTTAAGAAAGGTTTTATTTACGTTGATTCTACAGAGGAATGAATATACAAGAACAAATATCTTAAAAATCAAATTATTTTCTTCAAGAAATTTGGACAGAGGATTGCATCTTTATGAAGGCGAACATATACAAAAGCAAGCTCCAGGGAAACTAGAGGTGGAGAGATTAGGTTCGAAACATAACGAGGGATGAAAGAGAATAAGGTCTTGAAGTGGCAGTAAGATCACCACCTGAGGTGGGTGGAGATACATAATAAATGTGTACAATTTCATCTATCTAAAACTTCAGTTTTCTACAGTGATAGTTTGACAAAATTGACAATGGTTGCGAGATCACAAAAGTATCAGAAAGAGTAGTGAAAGTAAAGGGCAGAATGGAGGAAGTGTTGGTTAGTGGTAATGACGTTAACAGCGTGAACCTGGCAGCTAAAACTAAGTTCTTCCCGACTCCAGGTATTTAGGTACAGCAGATGCATTCAAGTCAAATTATGTCACATTCATGCCAAAACCGAATTGAAGTTGATGCAGCATTGAACGGGTCTATAAGATAATCGAAGTTCAGTTATTTAATGATGCAAATATGAAAAAAGCCAGACAAGGGTCAGATAGAGAGTGACGAAGGGGGTGGGAGAAAGAGAGGCTGGACTTGGAGAGAAAAAAAATTTAGAAAGGTGGTTTAATTTGGAGATCCAGTCAGAGCCTACTAAAACTGTCACAGAAGCTGTAAAAGATAGAGAAAGCTCGGGCGTCTGTTCTGATGCTATGAAACAGTTGAAATACCCTTTCAATGGTGACATGTGACATTTTCTACAATATTTACTTTAAAGGAACATAATATGATCAATTTTGATCAGAAAGTAAATTTCCCTGTTTTACTGGGCTGCCGATAATAATCCAATTATCTATTGAAGTGGTCTGGTGTATGAAACAAATAAATTGTGGAGAAAGCTTCAACCCAATTCACAGTTTAAATGCCTTCAATGAAGAAAAATTTGAAAGCATTGCAAGTGAAAAAAATGTGATAATGCCAAAAGACATAAAGAAAGCAACAGGCAGAAGAGACGAAGCATAGAGCAAATTAATGTACAACTTCCAACTGTTAATGATACGGTCAGAACCTGTGAATTAATAAAATCTTCACTCTTATCTGCAAAAAAGTGCCTAGCCATAATACTGCTTCGATCACGTATGCATTGCTTATCACCTTCAGACAATCCTAACACTGGAAGTGAAGTAGGATGGAAAGGTAGGCCACCATGGCTACTGTGAACAAATGAGTGCAAGAAACTGGACAACACTCTTTGAGGTGGGCCTGCAAAGGACAAAACGTAGGGCGTGGAAAAAAATTTGTTAGCAAAGCATTAACCATAACATTACACTATTGAAAGACGCCATTTTCTTTTGAAGGATCGACATCAACTAATCATCAAGTTCATTTAGGTTTAAGGAAGATACCATCTTGCTTAAAATATTTGTTTAGCAGAAAGGACTGGCATTCACTGGGTTCAAGCTATTTCAAAATACAAACTATTCTGCCTGAGCTTTTCAACCCGAAAATGGGAACCTAATATCAGTTACCGATTGTAAGCTCACCCTGTCAAGGTCATATAGGATGTGGAAGAAGGAAATAGTTTTGTATTGCATTTATCTAAACAACTTACTAACTGAACTAAAATTTTGGTAATAACAGGATTCTACATAAAAGTGACCTCCTTTCAACCCCTAAAACATAAAAATATACTTTCTACTACTGTGATGAAAATTATAATAATGAAGATAACTTTTTGAAAAAGTTGAATTTATTCATCTTTACTAACAACAATAATGACCACCTTGAATTAATAGAAAAGACATTTCAGGATTACCATCCAAACTAGGTTGAAGCCGTCCTTGCTCTAAAGGAATATTTGTCATACTATCCCTTCCCAGAGAATGAGGAATTTGAGGCCTTTGTATCTCATGCCAAGCATCTGCAAACCTGTTTTGATCCGCAGAGCGGAAGCCTTGAAGGAATTCTGATCCCTGAGAGAATGAAGTATGAAGAGAATGATTTGACGTGTCCACAATCAGACATCTAGAGAGAGATCTCATCTACCTGGGCATGAGGCTGCAGTGGATGTTCAAGCTCTGCCCCTGGAAGGGCAGCAAAGGGTTCTTCACTCCCTGCAAATAAATTACTATTGGTGGTTGTGGTTGTGGCAGTAGGAATCTCTCGCAGCCTTTCCTGCTTAGAGATAAATCAAGTAATCAACACTGCCAATTATTTCAGAAGCAATAGATACTTTCTATTGTACACTCTATGATCAAAATGTATGTTTTATGATAATAATTTCCCTTGGAGGGGTAATGTCTTTCAAATCTACATCTTTTAAATTCTTATCCTTGCGTAAAAAAGAAGAAGGTTTCTTTACAAATTTGCATACTTCGTGATGGTTTGGTATATATTACAGTCAGAAAAAAAATGATGAACTGATAGCTTATGTGGTTAATTAGTTCCTTCAAAATGTTAACATATAGAAGCTGAAAGTATACACACTCAAAAGGCCTTAGTGAAAGCTCCTTCGCTTAAAGAAAATGTCAGGAGGAGGCCCCTCATTGGATCCATATACTTGCTATCTTCTGATGTTTCTCTAAAGGTCTAGTCAACTAATCGAAGTTTATCCACTTGAATTTATTCTGATTGTTTTAATAATAAGTCCAACAGAATTATAGTTTCTCTTATTATCTTAGTTTTTATTTTTTTCTTGGAGGCGAAAATATTTCAAGTAAACTTAGTTATAGTAGCTTCTACTCTTAGTCTCCTACCAAATAACATGAACTACAACCACTCTTTACAGGTATTCCACAAAACAAAACCATATGAAGAATCCAACCAAGACTCAGAACCTTAGGTCAGTTAGAATTTATGCAAAATCAATTTTACTGACAATTCAAGAAAAAACCTGAGTTTTTGAGGACGAGCCGATGAGGGCGTTGGTGAGAGCTCCAAGAGGATTGGAGGAACCTGAGGAGCCAGGCACAGCACAAGCGGCGCCACCAGTAACCAACTCCCGCATCGCCATCTTTATCAGAATTCACCACCGTCCTCTTTTCTTCTCAACGCCGTCCGTTTGTTAGTATTATCGGATGAAAATTCGATTCGAGAAAAATTGAGGTGATGTATATAGAATCGAGGAGCTGGATAATACAGCGTGGGGACGGGATAAGAGGATGCAGGGGCAGTCGTAGTTTTATGGGGAATGACACCGTAGATAGGCAGTGTTTGCTTGTGGGGTTATTTCTATCCTTGGGGTTGCCGCTGAGCCGACTCTCGAGTTTGTAAAGCAAAATTGCAGAATTGGTCCTTCATTTATTTATTTAATTATAGTAGTCGCTCGATCAATTTCCAAAGGTGTGTTTGAGACACATTATTTTGGAATCGTAGATTGATTGAGAATGTGTTGTTAAAAAAGAAGGAAAATTTATTGATGCGATGAAAAATATTATTTTATTGAAGAATGTGTGATTGAAAATGAGTAGAAGAATGAGAATGAAAATTTTAATATGGCTCAAACAGGAGCTAAAAATTGTACAAATTCAAAATTGCACATTGGTCCTTGATTTAGTTCTTTGATTATAACAGTTGCTTGATCAATTTTCAACAACGGAAAATGATGAGTTTGTATAAAATGCTGAAATTGTAGGTTTTTCACTTGTTTAATTTTATAAAATTAAGCCATTTTTATGGGAATAAATGGCTCGCTTGTCTTGTTTTGTCCTTTTGTGAATTGATAGGATCTGATTCGTTTATTAAGAAATATGTGGGTCTCGTACAAACTAGAATGCTCCCTTAGTTTAAGATGAGCGACCTCGATATTTCATAAACTTTAATGATGGGCTCTATAGCACCTTAGTGCAAGTGGTGGTAGCTGCTACATCGACAATGGGGAATAGGTGGGATGAGGACGATGATTGTTTTTTTTTATTTTTGATTATTTTAATTAATGAAACATTAAAAGATCATTTTATCTAGCATTAAATTGATCGAATTAATGTTAGACATTTGACTTTTAGTCAACCGATAAATTTTCAAAAGAAATTTCAATTTTAGACTTAGGTGCTATGATTTGAAAGTTTGGAACCAATGCTGCAAATTTCCTAATAATTTGTAATTAAAGCCGAAGCACGCTAATACTTCTGCTGGAATTCCAGTCTCCACTGGAAAACTCTGAAGCCAGAAGGCCGACCGCCGAGGATCGTGAGCTAGAAGGAAGAAAAAATGGCGTCATCGTCCAGCAGTGGCCTAACATTCAAGCTCCATCCTCTCGTCATATTAAACATCTCCGATCACTACACACGGATCAAGGCCCAATCCCAGCCACCTCCCACCACCTCCGCCGCCAACGACGCTGTTTCCCCTCCGCCTCCACCGCGAGTTTTTGGCTGCGTTATTGGCGTTCAGCGGGGCCGCACTGTCGAGATTTTCAACAGCTTCGAGCTCCTCTATGACCCGTCCACCCACACCCTCGACCGCGCTTTCCTTGAGAAGAAACAAGAGCTCTGTTTGTATTTGTTTTATTTTCCTTCTTTTCGTTTTCCCTTTATTTGTTCAATGTGTGTGTATACGGTATGATTGTGATTGTGGTCTTAGGGTTTTTAGGGGAATTGATAATTGGGATTTCTTGTGGGATGCAGATAAGAAGGTATTTCCACATTTTTATGTGCTGGGATGGTACTCGACAGGGAGTGATGCGCAAGAATCTGATATGCACATTCACAAAGCTGTGAGCTCTGATTATCCTATTATATAGGCTAACTGTGTAATTTACATTTTACGCACATTTTGGCATGTGTATGGAGATTCTACGTTAAAAACACTCCTATTAGACTTGAATTCTGTTCAGTGTGGATTTTTTTGAAAAGAGAAATTATCTATGGAATAGGGATGGAAATATTTGAGTATTTGCACTATTGGTTGATATTTGGAGTTTATTTTCCAGGCAAGAGTAGGTATAGATAAAAACAACTGGAATTCAGAATTACTAAAAGAAAATGATACACACATCAACAAACAATTTCATAATTACTTTGAGAAAACAATGCACATTTCGTGGAGGGGTTGCAGTTTTCCACGTGTCAATGATATGCAGCATGTTGCTGGAGATCAGCAACATTGTAGAACATCCAATTTAAATTCCAGTTTTCCTATTTTTTTCATATTACACGAGTGGAATTTGGAAGTGGTACTGTACTTTGCTTGTATTGACCTCCTAAAATGTTGCTGATTTATAATTGTTCTAATAGGTTAGGTTTGCATTTCTGTTCTTCCCTCCATCTTGCAGTTGTTGGCGTCTGAAAAAAATAAACAACAAACTACTCATCCTCCAATATCTTGGCTATTCCTATTGTGAATAATCGCTTAACACTCCTAACAAGTTGCTGAGTTCAGCTTTCAGAGCTACATTCAGCAATGATTTATGTTCTAATTTAATTGTACGAAGGGGGAAAAAAAGATCTAGAGGGGACTATGTAGTTCAAGTTTATTTTATCTGATATTGTTTTTAATGGCAATTATTCGTTTCTGACAGCTGATGGATATTAATGAGAGTCCTGTATATGTTCTTCTCAATCCTTCTATCAATCATGCACAGAAAGATCTGCCAATTACTATTTATGAAAGTGGTATGTGTCCAATATTACCTCTTGATATCCTCAAAACCATGTGTATTCCAAATTTAGATGTAGTTGTTAATGTATTTCCTGTTGTTTGTATCTCTAATCAAAAGTTTGTTATGTTGCGAATATGTTGGTTGATTTACATGCTTAAAGATGAAACATGAGATTGAAGTCTCGTGCTGTCTCGGAACACTTACAGATTTTATTTATTTTTAATTTAGTAAAACAAGAAAAGTGATATGCACTTGCCAGCTCGATTATATATCTCTAAGCTGGGTTAATGTTCTTATGTGTTTCCTAGATCAAATATTAATTTATAATTGTACATTTGTATCTTGAAATTATTTTATTAAATTTGCCATGAGACCTTAATTGAAGATATTTAATTATTTATTATGTTTCTGAAAGCAATCACGAACCACGTGCTCCTCAGACTGCTGGTTAGATATCTGTAATTGTAATTAACTCGCAAAATTTGTTGTTATTTTGATATTGCCTTGCTTTGGACCAATTATCATCATTCAAGAGTTGCACGTTATTGATGGCATCCCACAGCTTATCTTTGTTCAATCAAGCTACATAATAGAGGTTTGTTCCTCTTCACATCTTCTGGGAGCATATTCCATACAAGTTTGTCAAGAGCAAGTGTCTGAATCTCATCTTTGCTTGCTTGGCAGACGGTTGAAGCTGAACGAATCTCAGTTGATCATGTTGCTCATCTTAAACCGTCTGATGGTGGTTCAGCTGCAACTCAACGTGAGCCTCTCTTCTCATTTTATCTTTTTAGTCATATAAGCGGCCTCTGTCTGTTTCACAAAAAGTATAGTGATGTATATTTTGCTTTGGTCGGGATTCATACTTTTCCCCACTTTGTGGGTAGTGAATGTATAAAACTTATAAATGAACTTTCCTTTGTAGTGGCTGCTCACCTTACTGGCATACATAGTGCCATCAAGATGCTGAATAGCAGAATCAGAGTACTTCATCACTATCTTCTTGCAATGCAGAAAGGTAAATCCATTCATTTTCCTAGTGATGAGGTTATTTAGAATTTTACACTAGAGAAATTTCTTGACTTAATTGTGTTTGTTTGTCATGGAAGACAAGAAGATAAAAAAGTAACTTTAGAAACATGAATCCATACTAAGATTATGACACTGACAAGAACCAGAATCTTACTAATTGTATTACTTCGATAATTGCAGGTGATCTTCCTTGCCAAAATTCCTTGCTAAGGCAAGTATCTAGTCTCTTAAGAAGATTGCCTGCCATTGAGTCAGAAAAATTTCAAGATGATTTCTTGATGGTGAGTGCTTTAAAAACTGTATGATATTTTCTCTGTTAATTGACTTCTATATTTTATATTCCTGATTTACTTATCATTGGACAGTGGGGAAGTTCTTTTCTACTATTGTTCCTGTTGCATTCCTTGCACAGATTTCTGATTTCTTTTGAATTCGGTGGACATTGATATTGGGATAAATCTTACAAGTGGTTTACTAAAAATCATGAAATATATTTGTTTCAATTTTTTTCTTTTATTCGACATATTACATTTTCTGTTTCAGGAATATAATGACACGTTGTTGATTACTTACCTTGCCATGTTCACCAATTGCTCGAGGTATGTTATTTGTGTTTCTGCTATCTAAAATCAAAGGAAGGTATGAGTTAGATCCGTGGAATGAAACCATTTCCTGAAACTAAGGAGGCTGCCCAATTTGTCTCACAACACTTGCAAAAAGTTTGAGAAGTATCTACTGGAGGGAATATATATTAACCCCCTAGCATATGATAGATTGCCAATGATTGCAGCTCTAACTGAAGATTCCTATTGATATTATAGTCACGGTCAATTGTAATATAAAAAGTCCTGTTCTGTCCATACTCCATAGTCCATTTAGGCAAGATATCAACTACAAGTGTCAGGCTCTCGAGTTGGTTCAGATTTGCTAATTATCTAATTATCTTTTTGCATGTAACCTTCATATAAAGCAGAATTAGCTTTGACTAACACGTATGCTCTCTGTTTTCATTAACCACATCGGATATAACAGTTCTCTCTCTCTCTCTTTGGTCCTTTGTTCAGCACAATGAATGAGATGGTCGATAAGTTCAACACTGCTTATGACAGGCATAGTAGGAGAGGTGGACGGTCGGCTTTCATCTGAAAGTTCTTCTGGCATCTCCTTGCGTTCTTGGTCTGCTTTTGTAGCTACAGCATTTACAAATCGAGGAATAACATTTCCGATGAATCAAAACGAGTCATGACAGTACAGGAATCAAATATTTCTTGTTTCTTTGTTTCTAATAGTGGCTATGCCCTTGCTGGATTTCTCATCGTTCTGTAATTTTTTTTTATTTTTGGAGGAAATTAACGATACGATTTCAAGATAGCACGCATTTTGATGATTGTGATGCAGATCTTTTTGCTAGCTATTGGCATTTGCAAAATTAATTTCACGATCATATTGTTCTTCACATGGTCCGCAATATGTTTTTATCAATTTATCTGTGCTGCTGTGCCTTATTCCTGTTAGCGAGAGGGTTGTGCAATTTCTTTTGAAGGAATGAAGGGTTCTGCTGCAGTCGGAGTAGTTCTTTTATTGACAAAGTGAAAAAGATTTCTTTTCGAAGTAAAATCTTCTATTACTAAATCTTCTCCCAGAAGCCAAAATTTCCCAAGGCTTTTGGATGCTGTTAAATGGATGTTGTTGACCCAAAAAACTTGCCTCCAACGTGTACGCGGTCAAAAAATCTCAAGGCATTTTCAGTCCATGCAAGTCCATTTCGTGCATATTTGGACAAATCCTTAGCCACGCGTGGATTCCTCCAGTGGAGATAGAGTTGTTCGTGTTCACTCCGACAATCAAGTAGGGGGAAGTAAATATACGAGTGTAGGAGATCTTTGGACATGACTTTCAATATAGAAGGGGTTGGCTTTGGGGAGTAATTGATAAAACGGTGATATGGTAAAGTTATATGTAATGATCCGGATCTCTATACCCAAATCGTTAGTTTATGTACTATCCACTTTGAGTGGGCTTATAGAGGACTGTACGTAAGAACGGTTGGGTATAGAGACCTAGGTCGTTACATTATAGGTTGAGAGTCTAAATTTGTATTACTTTTCAAATGACATTAAGTGTGAGTTTTTATAGTAAAAAGGGTGAACGGGAGTCGTCGAATGAAGAGACATGTGGCCTCATCCGTGCAGTTGATGCCTCTTATCATAGACACCAATCAATTATAAGCATTAAATGCTAATACCACTTTATCGTCCATAATGCCTAGCTTGCAGCTTTAGATTTGACCTGATGGGCTGAACATGGTGGCTGTGGCTGTGGCTGTGAATTGTCACGTCAATCACATATCGAAGATTTGTCTCGAAGATACTTTACTAAGCTCCTTTTGTAGCCTCATTTCCCTCCGTAGTTCAGTTCTTCCCCATGGGATCAGTTTAACTTAAATGAGGTCACTAACCGTATTGGTTCGACCAATTGATACTTTGACGCAGTGTCGGGTGGCCACGCTTGCTTGCCACGTAGAATGTTTGGAGCCTAACGAGGCTATGCCATCTTAAGGTGCTTTTAAATGGATGGATCTTGTTAACGTTTATGAATTATAATTCATAGATCAAAAGACTGAATTTGAAAAATTGATTGTTATCATATAGCTTTATTTTGGCTAATTTCTTAGTTGGAGATGAGCGAACAGGGTCAATCACCGCCTTAGGACCCCGACCAAGTCTTCCATAGAGGCAAACAATAGACAATAAATCCCCCAATATAGTAATCGTATTGTGCTCTCCAAGTAACACTCTTCTCAAAATCTCAATCCAAAGATGTTGAGAAGTTGGTCTAAAATTCTTGGAGAATGCTTTTTAAATCACATTAAATCCTTTGAACTGATTTCTGCAAGCAAATGAAGGCAACTAACTTTGAAATGTTCAAATGAGTTATTAATTTCATTTTACAATATAAATGCATTGGTTTGACCACACTAGCGAATCCACAGTTCATTCAACATAGACGTAAAATGAAAACAGGAATAACAGAATTAATTGATCTTGGAAATAAAAGCATTAGCTTCATAGTCAATGCCAGGCGAAAACTTTAGCTACATCGAAGAAACTGACACCATTATTACACTAGATGAATTAATGCATTATAAGAATGGCTCGACATCATTACTAGATAGACAGCTCGGTTTTGGATATTAGTATGCCATCACTATCTGCATACAACCATTCCCCGTCACGAATTAATGTTCCCGCAATGTGAATTGGGACGTGTTTTTCGCCATTGCCCTTTTTGTTTGATTTCTGGGGATGTGATGCCAAGGCCCTGACCCCAATATCACAGCTGTTTATCTCGTCTACATCTCTAATACAGCCATTAACTACAATACCAGTCCAGCCATTATTTTGGGCCAATTGTCCAAGATTTCCTCCTAGCAAGGCACATCTTGTGCTGCTTCCACCGTCTATGACCAGGACTCGACCTTCTCCTCGGGTTTCAAGAAGCTCTCGGACCAACACGTTGTCTTCAAACACCTTAACAGTGGCAATGGGGCCACAGAACGCTCGACGTTGGCCATAAATCTGGAAGATAGGTTGCAGGACCCGTAGATCACAACTCGACAAAAGTGCTACATTCGTATCACAAGCTTCAGCAGTTGATAAGAAAGCCATATATTCACCTGCACATACTGTTGTTATAAAATTGAAATAACTTGGAAGAGAACTTCATAGATTTCATCTGCTTTCACATCTGATATTTCTAGTCTGTTATTGGGCTGGACAATTCAAGGAAAATGAAAGGCATAAAATAACCACTTATATGAAATAAGAACAAACAAATATACAAGGAATAATTGCAGCAACTAGTGTGCTTAACATGCCTTGCCTCTGATCCCCTAAAAGTAAAGATATAACGATAATGAAAATAAGCATCGAATGGCCTATTCTCTTTACCCTTTTTAGATCATTTTCAGTTTTCGAAAACACTAAAAACACGTTTATTTACCTATTTTCATAAACGAATTTCCAAAAACGAGTTTAAAATTTAGAAAGAAAACAGAAAACGCCAAAAAAGTCATTTTGGCTGTTTTCAGTTAAAACCAGGTCAAAACTTCATTTTTTTTTATTTTTGAAAACAATTTTTCAAAATGACAAAAAGAAAGCGTTTTTAGCAATCTCAAAATGGACTCTTAAAACACAAAACTCAAAATGAATTTAAAATTCAAAACCAGAAATTGAAACACGAAGAGAACATCCCTTAAATCCCTAGAGGCATTTGCAATGTTCCATGAAGTGTAACAATCCTCCCTCCTTTTAATATCCCTTCCTAGTTCTAAGAGAGAGTGGACTATTTGCACGCAATTGGATTATTAATTCCTCGTATTTTGGCTGTCTCGATGGATGGATGTAGCTATGAGTAAGATGGCTGTTGAAACGTATCTTCCGGCAGGATTATGCTTGAAGCTCTGCACCTGTTTATAACCAAGACCAGCACATGTATTTCAGTGCCTGACTTGTTATATTCTCATTCTCTTGAGACCACTAATCTGGAGATCAAGATTGGGTTAAGAGTTCTATCTTTTAATCCTGGATTTCCCCAACTCCACACCCACTTTTGAAAATTTTCACATACACAACTGATAAAACTGAACTCAATACCAGTATCCACAACAAAAATGGACACGAATTATCGCCTACCACCATATTATATGAGGATTACTTTCCATTGTGGTTCACATAGCAAAATTCTTATGGATAAGCCCTGCCCTAATCGGGCTAATCCCTATTTACAAAAGCAATAAAAGAAATGAAAATTACAATTATATTCCTCAATCTTGCGAGGGACAACCCATTCCATATTTGAAATATTATCAGAAATTAAAGCTACAGTAATAATAAACAGAAACTACAGCACAGATTCCAAATGATTGGTATAGAATTACCAAAAATAAAACTAGAATTATTTACCTGTCTACGAAGAACCAAGTTTGCTGTACTGGATAAGCTTTATGCCTTTATATAGTAATCGGCAGTAAAAAATGTGATATGATCTTCTTGGTGACTGTGCCATCAACTGCAACTAGGCCGCAGACTTGTTTGACCTTCGAGTCCCGACAAGTTTTACAGTTACTCATTATTTTTTGGACCATGATAGTTGTACGATAAAGATTGACAACCTCAAAATTGACAACCATTCAAATGGGACATCCGCTTTTTTTTTTTGAATTGTTTAAACATGCGAACCCCGCACACACATGAGAGGTTGTCAACTGAGGTTGTCAACGTCGATTGTACAAATAGCATTTTCCTTATTTTTTTTACCAAAATGAAACCTCTTTCATTTTTTTCAGCTTCAAACATTTCAAAAATATATTTAAACTGTAGCAATTTATTTCCGAATTTTTTTAGTGAGCCTTGTTTGGTACCGCTAAAAATCTAATTAAAATGTAAGTCAAAATCCAATTTAACCTTATATTTCATATAATTCATAACTTTTTAACCACACATTTCATCGACTTTTATCAATTAAAATTTGATTTTAATATATACCAAATAGGGGCTAAATGTGCCGTATTAGGATTTTTGAACAATTTTACTTCAAAGGTACGTTACTTGACGAAAAAAGACTTTGACCTAATTTTGATCAATCCAATGAAGGGTAAAATTTACTGTTTGTTTCCCTCCATGTTTTCCTATTACAATGGCTCATGGACTTAAGTTTTTGTTTGTTCCACATTTTTTCTTCATTTTTAGAAAAAATTTGTACCGTTGAAGAGCCTCACTTGGCCATTTTTTTTTTACTTTCATCTCACACTTTCTTTGAATTGTACGCTCCAACGGTACAATTTATTCCATTGTGGAACCTAGGTGCAGATGAATGTATAAATTTATTCTACGTAAATGTACTTTGAAAATTTATAAGAACTTTAGACATTTTTAGAATATTGCGTTTCCCTATATGTAATATTTCAATGGGCCACAGTACTTGGCTTGTTTAGTGGGAACAATACATAAATCAGGTTT